AGACTCTTCCATCTCTGTCTATCAGTTCGACTAAACACACACACACATACACACATGTACTGTCCTCCCTATTCAACCAATGTCCTCTGAGCGTCAGTGTATCTTTCAGTTGAACATCAACTTCATAAGACAGCTCGAGCTTTCCCCGTCACTCATACATTTGACTTTAGGAGACAATGCCACTTCACCCAGCCACTCCATGTCTCACAAATACTCTCTACTATGACAGCAACAGTAACTATACTGCAAACAGAGGGTGTGTACATCTGCGTGCCAGTTTCCAAATCATATTTACTGGGTGGGCCTCCGCTTGCCAAAAACACTATGTGGATACAAACGGCAATAAAATATTAATTAGTAGTGATACAAAAAATAATTGATGCTAGAAAAGCCAAGCCCTGAGAGATCAAGACATGACGGTTGCAGTGTGCAGACTAAGGGACTGACATGGTCTGGGGAAAATGGGTTAGAAAAGTTACATTTAAGGTATAAGCATTATTCTGAACAGCGCAATAGCTGATGCAAATCCGACTATACCATCTGCACTGTTCTCTCCACAATTGAAGCTTACTCTATGGGACCCAGGTAGGTAGTCTGTCATTACCTTACTGTACTGAACAAGGACTTAGAAGCAGGGATTTCCATGTGATGAAGCCCTCCATTGACAAAACCTCAAAGGAGGAGGAGGAGAAGTAGGAGTAGGGTGGAGCATGCCTCGGCCCTGACATAATAACACACCTACAGGCCCGACAGCCGACACACATGTCGAAGGTAAACATGCGTGTCAGAGGGCACGGGAGCACAGACAGACATGATGAATTGCCCGAAGTTCCCACGAGGCGACACACATACAAACTGGCTTGCAGAGAGAGGAAGGTGATGTGTGGTCAGCCCCCTCCTCATCACTGCAACACAGAGAATCCCATTCACACACCGCACGGGCCGCTACATCTCATCATTACTTATCACAACAATGGCACTGTAACACCATACGTGTCTGCATGTGGCTGGGTGAATGTGCATACATGTGTGCATCTGCTGTAAGTCCTTGCATGTCTGTCCGTCCGTGCTTTTTTTTCCAGTATATGTGAACGTAATGTCAAAACCATACAACGCGATGCCTGCTTGGCTGAATATATGAGTGTGTAAATATTCTTTTTTTTTTTTTTCTTTTTTGCTGTACGTGTGTTTTAACGAGTGTATGTGTGCGTGCGAGTTTGTGAGAGTGTGTGAGAGTGTGCATGTGTCCAGGCCCCTCAGAGAGATCAGTGAGCAGGGACATGACCTTGCCAGTACAGCTGGGCTTTCTGTGTTTAGTCAGAGTAACCATGGCAATGGCGCTGTGCAGACAGGATGTCTACGTTGGGGATTTGAAAGTCATAACGTCGCTACTGCTCTAAGCTTCATTATGCCATGGATTACTGTAACTAGCCAACAAACGGATACATGAACACACTTCACGGACATAATTTAATTTCAGGGTTACAGGTTAGAGGTTATTACATTTCCACTGTGAAGAATAGCTAATGGCATGATAAAAAAGGAGTGAGCATTACATAAAGTTAACATTTGGTTTAATTTTGCATTTGGAGAATGCCACAAAAGGTATGTGTCAAAATACTCCTAAATTTGGTCATAAATTGTGTTTTGTTTCTATGAATTAAAGTTTGTAATTGATTGAACACCTGTTTGTATGTTACACTGAGGATATTGCATTTTTTCCCAACATGCTGTTTAGTGTTTTCGTTAACTAGAGAAATATAAGAAGACTGAGCAAAATATGCTCTTAACATGATAGTGCATTCATTTCCATAATATCTTACTTCCATTATGTTTACCTTATGTGTAATCCAAATGTGAATGAACAGGTGGATATTCTTTATAGTCGGGTGCAGGTGTTTGCTGATGGTATGTTGTGTTTAGTCATTTTGCTCTCATCCATTCTTCTCCCTCTCTCTAGCCATTCTCTGCTAACCATTCCAGACTCCCTCCCACCTCTCACAGCTTTTCTCGATCTTCCCCGTTCTTTCTTCCACCACTTCCTCCATCACTCTCCTCCTCTCTCCTTCCATCAATCACCCCTCCATCCATCACTCCCTCACTCTATCATCCCTTTTTCCCCCATCGTTTACTATTTCCTCCCTAAGTCTCTGCTACAGCTTCTCTTTTCCTCCGTCTACTCTCTCGTGGAGTTCGACTAATGTTTGCACGATTTTCCCCTCCATCTCTCAAATTGTCAACTCTCCCCTTCTCTACATCTAAAAATTTCCACTTTGTCAACTTTGCATCTCTTTATGTGGCTGCTTCAAAGCTACCGCTACCTTTTCTTTGCTCTATCATCATTTTCCATCACTAAAATGTAAACAGAGATAATATCAGCTACATTCCCAGTGTCTACAGGAGTATCAGGTTCAGTAAGTCTAATGTTGTGGCATGTAGTATTATCCCATTCAGACTATGGAAACATCTCAATGACTAGCTATTCAAAATGTCCAAACACATAATTTCTCTATTGTGTACCTACACCCTGTGACCCTAGACTCATTTAATGATTAGCTCCCCTGGAGGCCATCTGTGTGTGTGTGTGTG